CCAGGGCCCCCACGCCCTCCCCGTGGGCACTTCTTCCCAGGGCCTCACCCAGTTCACGGGCAGCTTAGAAGAGGCAAGAGAAGTGATGCAGCACGATCCCGCGTGGGGAGGTACAGGATGGCTTTTGGCAGGTTGGCTCTGGAGCAGCCAGAGGAGACAAGGACTACAGCTGCTCTTGAGATCACACAGTTCCCCACATCTTCTCAGCAATGTGCCCAGGGTCAAGATCTGAGAACCCTCCAAAACCAAGCACAACAGTCAGCCTTTCTCCTTCAGGAGTGTCCAGTGGGACCTCTGGGGAGGTTTGGAGTTGATCAGCAGGACTCTCCTGAAGGAGAATGCCTGACTGTTTTTTAAATGCTTGATCCACCTCCTGGCACCAGCCATCTACACCTTGGACACTCTCAGCGAGATGGCACCCAAGTGTTGAACGGGCCAGCATTTCTAAAGGTGGCCAAAGAATTAACACCATCCAAAGGCATCCAGCAGCAGTGAGTTTCTGAACTGAGCTGGACACACAACAAAACATCTCCTTCCATTTTAAGCCAGGCACATCTCCTACAGCCCCTCTCAATTTTGAAAAAAATCTCCGTTTCCAACCCACTGCCTCTCTCCAAGAGTCCCAGTGAACTGAAGCTCTCCTCCTGCAGAATCCAGCCCCTCTAAAACTTTCCATATCTTTCTACCATTTTTTATTTCAGGCACACGGCCACATTGAGTTGAGTTCAATCTTTTCCTCTGACCGCCTGGTGCTCTATTTGCCCAGAGCAGTCTTCACCATTTCCTGCTCAAGTTTCATTAGCTGCCTTAAAATAAAGGAGTGGGAAACAGTCCTGTTCAAAAGGCAAAGATAAATCAGCCCATTAGACCTGTCTGTGCCCAGCCAGAGCGGAAGATCAAGCGGCACAGGCTTGTCCCAGTGTCACCCAGGAAGGCGGGGTGACACGACACCTCTGTGTGCTCAGGCACAACAGTCCCAGCACTGCCAACATACTTTGGCCAAACATCTCTGTGACACTGCCTCCACACCAGCATGGGTTAGATGAAGTCTACTGGCATAAGTACGTGCCACCAGCCTCCAAATAGAGCTGTTCTCTACTCCAACTATTTGGGACGTGTATGGGAAGCTTCACATTGTCAGCAGGACAATAATGCCTGAAAGTTATGCCCCCTGCCCTAAACCAAGACCTGCTACAACCCACTGGACAGTTCCAGCAAACAAAGCACAGTCTGAAAGGCAGCCCAAAGAGTCATATCTAGTCTACCCTCTTTTCAGAGAATCACAGCATGGAAGGGACCTCTGGAGATGATCTTGGCCAACCTTACTGCTCCAGCAGGTCACCCACAGCAGGGTGCCCAGGATGGTGTCCAGGCAGGTTTGGAATCTCTCCAGAGCAGGAGACTCCACAGCCTCTCTGGGCAGCCTGCTCCACGCTCTGCAACCCTCACAACAAAGTTTCCCCTCCTGTTCAGGTGGAACCTCCTGGGCTCCACTGTGGGCCTGTTGCCCCTTGTCCTGTCACTGGGCACCACTGACAAGAGTCTGGCCCCAGCCTCTTGACACCCACTCTTTAGGTATTGATGAGCATTGATAAGTAGACTTTCTACTAGTTCAGTCACTAAATCTATCAGGATTATCAACAGAAGGTATTAGAGCAAAACTAGCACCATCTCTAAACTCCTCTCCTTCACTGTCCAAGTTCTAGCTTGTCTGTAGTTTCATGAGAAGTTATCAGAGCTTCTAATATGCTGACAGTGCCTCCCACCATGGGCCAGCTGAAGCTGGTACCACCTCCTCTGTTTCAGCAATAAGGCATGTGTGTGATGAGCAGAGATCCAGTGGCGTTAAAACCAATCTTGTGGGCAAAAAAGAAAAAAGAGAGTGGAGACAACTCAAGGAATAAACATCCTGTGCTGAATGTGGCCAACCTATTCAAGATGAGATTACACAGGAGGCAAGATGTCTGCACAGAACCCTGTTTTGCTATAGAGAACTCATCAGAGACAGAAGCAGAACAATATCAAAGTTATATCAAGTTGAGGGCAAACCACCAGATATAAAGTTAAGTCATTCAAAGAGCTGTGAGAACCAGCCTATCATGTTACATGAGATGTTTAAGGTCCCCTGCACAGCTTGAGCTGGATGTAGACACTGGGTAAAGGTCAACAGGACTGGTGTGACAGGAAACTGGATTTCCACAGGTATTCGCAGCCTTTCTACCAAGCCAGGCCAGGCACGGTCCAAGACCTCTCAGGTCATCTTTTCCATGCACTAGTTTTCAAAGCAGGACAATCAGCGAGCAGCAAAGCTTTGAAGTCCATGAGATAACTCTCAAGTCCTGCCCAAACTACTGCCTTTAAATGGATATGACATAAGCTAAAAGAAGAGACCATTAGTGATTACTGTGATGCTTCCATAGAGCCCAGACATCTCCATAAACCCGCATAGCAGCAAAGGCAGAGCACCAGTGGAGAACAAACCACCTCATACTGCCAGGCTCAAACAGTACTGATGCCTTCAGAGAAAATTCAAGACGGGCAACGAAGTGTTTTGAAAGTTACCTTGAGAGAGTAGAAGAGATTACTCCATAAAACTAAGATTTTCAGCTAGAAGCTGCTTCATCCACTGCAAACACTGCTGCAAAATGGGGACTGGTCATGGCTCGCTGATGACTTCTACCATGTCTCGCTCCAGATCTGGAGCCAAATATGGAAGTTCCATGAGTTTGTAACATGCATATAAGAAAAAACTTAGTTCTCGGAGAATAGGAAAGGCTTAAAAGACAAGCAGCTTTAGCACAGTGACCCAGAAAATAACAGATACGAGCCACTGGGTTAGAAAAATGAGACAGTGGTACTGTCCAGATGTAGAAATGAGAGAACACAAAGGAACGTGGCAGAGACAGGTCTGGAATCAGTGTTTGCACACGCAGGAGATGCCACAGACAGGGCAAAAACTAAAATCTTTGAACTGACCATAAGAGTTTTTCTACAACAGCCTGCACCGTTCAAAAACCTCTGGGTGGCGAGCAAGGCAATTGCCAAGGAGGTGAGATTCAACAGCGCTTGCCCAAGTGCCCGTGATGAGCCCAAGCTCGCTGCCTCAAATAAATGAATTTATCTGGTGAGGTACCACATAAATTCTCTGTTCTCCAGCTCGAGAACAGAGCACGACCTTCTTCTCAGAGAAGCGAGTCAAAGTCACGTTCTGATGAACCAGAAATTCACTGTTGCCCATAAGATAACTTTTTCCTGGCTAGAGAAGGCCACTGGCCATGCAGTTTGCAAGCCAAACTAGAGCTTACAGGAGCTAAGGAAAGCTTAATAGAGCTAAGGAAAGGGAACAAAAGCAGTTTTGGTTCCACACAGCAGATGCAGACTAGTGGAACTGGTATCTCACAGAGAACAGCGACTCCATTTTATTCCCAACCAAAACAAGAGCAGCACACAGGGGAGCAGAGGGTTGTGCAAAACCACTACAAGCTAGTTGTGAGAACATCTCAACCTCTTCCTGTCAGCCAAACCTGCTGAGGAATCATCCCTCGCCCCCATGTCTTCTCCAACGAAGACGTGCTGGGGCTGCTGCAGCCCCATCCCTGCCTTCTGCACTTTCTAGGCCCTCCCTTCTCCTCGTGCAGGGCTTTGTTGGAGCCTACGGAGCTGGCTGAGAACAACAAATGAAATATTAACCCCAAAAGGGAAAAGCTGTTTGGTTTTTGGCCAGCTTTACTCCCTGAACTGGTTTGTGGTGAGGTCACAGGAAGGCCTGTGGTCCCTGGGGTGGGCTGGCAGGGTCGCAGCAGCCCTGACGAGAGCTGATGGACCTCATTGGGTCTGAACGAGCAGGCAGCTGCTGTCTCGATATGCACAGTGGATGTTTTGAGGCAGGATCACAGTTTTTAAAACCCAGGAACATTTAACCACAAGGGCCAAAGATAAATGACAGCTTGAGTAGAGGCTGAACCAGTTCTGCAATGGAAGGCAGGGAAGGAGCCATGCCAATAAAGCACACACCCTGGGAGCAGAATGCTGCTGTGCTGCATGGCTTGAGACCTGTGTCCTAGCACTGTGGTGGTGTCTGGAGATCAAACCAGCAGCAATCCATGCTGGAATCAGAGACTCATAGAATTTTTTTGGTTGGAAAACACCTTCCAGATCATTAAACCAAACCATTCTCCCAGCACTGCCAGGTCCCCACTGACCCATGTCCCTCAGCACCACATCTCCACAGCCTGGAAACCCCTCCAGGGATGGGGACTCCACCACTGCCCTGGGCAGCCTGGCACAGACCTGGACAAACCTTTTGCAGAAGACATTTGCCCTAATATTGAACCTAAACCACCCCTGGCACAACTTGAGGCCACTTCCTCTTGTCCTGTCACTTGTTGCTTGGATCTGATCAGAAATGACCGATTCCCACCTGGCTCCAGCCTCCTGTCAGGAGTTGTGCAGAGCCAGAAGGTCTCCCCTGAGCCTCCTTGGCTCCAGGCTCAGCACCCCCAGCTCCCTCAGCTGCTCCTCAACACACTTGGGCTCCAGACCCTTCCCAAGCAGCTTCACTGCTCCTCTCTGGCCATGCTCCAGCCCCTCAAGGTCCTCCTGGGAGTAAGGGGCCCAAAACTGACTGCAGGATTCAAGGGGCAGCCTCCTCAGTGCCAAGTCCAGGGGGACGAGCCCTGCCCTAGTCCTGCTGGCCACAGTAGTGCTGATCCAGGTCACAATGCTGGTGGCCTTCTTGGCTACCTGGGCACGCTCTGGCTCATGTTCAGCCAGCTGTCAAACAACCCCCCCAGGTCCTTTTCCACTTGAGCACTTCCCAGCCACTCTTCTCCCAGCCTGGAGTGCTTCAGGGGGTTGTTGTGACCCAAGTGCAGGACCCAGAACTCGTCCTTGTTAAACCATTTCCATTCAAGTAGCTGAAGAAAATAGAATGTACAAGGCTGAGCGTGGAGAGTTGGGAAGAACACTTCAAACAATGCTCACAGACAGCTGGTACTCACGTGATGAAGTCCAGAAAACTTGCCAGGGGCTCATAGGCATGGTTCCTCATGTGACGGAACTCCACCACCATCTTCTCCTTCAGCTTGTCATCTATGACAGAGACGGTGAGTGGGGAGGCTTCATTGGCCAGGAAGTTCCCATAGTCAGTGCTCTGGAGGTGCAGCTTCAGGTCTGAAAAAGAAAGAGTAAATTCCAGTCTGAAGGCTTGGTGTTGGGTTTGGGGGATTTTGTTTTGAGCATACCCAAGGAAGCTGTTGCTCAGCATGTCTCTAAGCATTCTCTTCTCGGAAAGATCCCCCAGACAGAACCCACATGTTAATTCATACACTTACATTTGTGCTCAGTTTCACTATGGACAAGCCAAACACGGGAAAAGATCAGTGTTTCACCCTACCAACCTTGTCCTGTCTTAAAAGGGGAAACTGTGATGCTGTCTGTATAGCTGAGCATCTGTGCCAGCTGTCCACTGCTCCTGATCGAGGTGAAAGGTTCTGATTTTCTAGGAAGTATTTGCTAGGAATCTAGGAAAAAAAAAAAAAGAAAAAACACACTAGGAACAACTTAAGCACCTCCTCCAGCCAAAAGAGCTCTGGTTGCAGGCTCCCCTGAAGCAATCATGGCCAAGAACCCACCTGCATCCACAAGCAAGTTGCCTCAGATACTAGTGATCTGGAGGCATCTGAAAAGCTTTCAAAGCCAGAAAGATAAAAATGGCAACCTTGAAATTATAAAGCAGCTAGGTATGACACCATCAAGTCAGTCCAGCTAATTGAACTGGTAAAGAGAAGCAGGAAATTGAGGCAGAGAAGGGCTGGTGAAGAGGAAGGTTATTTAAATCCATCTCCTATGGCAGGCAACCCCTGCCCAGGATGGAGGAACACACTCAGAAGCCTTCCCCTCCTCCAGTCTCAAGCAGAGGAAACATTTGTTTCCTCTGTTACCCTTGCTGCAGGTCAGGTGCCCAACCAAACTGCAGCTCTGGCCAACAAGCAACCACAAGATGCTGAACTTTGTCAAGATAAAAGCCAAAAGCATTTAAGCGTCTCTATGGAAAAACTGAATACAGAACTGAGGAACGTCATATAATACTACTCCTCAAAGCTCTACTAGTTGCACTGGTACATAATGTTCATCTTCTCTTCAGCTTCACCTCAGAGGACCAGCTAGGCAAGCACCCTCTCAGGGATTCAAGACCTTTACAGGGAAAGGAGAGTAGCTGGAAGAGTTTAGTCAAACCAGATGTGAAGGCACCGTCCAGAGAAAACAAGAAAAAGCCACTACTCCCTGGTTTCTCTGGAGCAGGAGCTCCAAGGCTGCTTTTCCCTCCCGCTGCACTGCACGAGTCTCAGCGCCACGGCACGAGCGCCCGCAGCACCGAGCAAGGGCTCGGCCCAGCTCGAGGAGGTTGAGCTTCTGACATCACACCCGGCTCCAGGTCCTCCACACCGAGCTCCAAACTGAGCCTCTACTGCTCCATACCACCCTCAGCCCCGGGGTGGAAGGGTCGAACCGCTTTCAAGCTGACTTCTGCTCTTCTGGGGATTTCCAAGGGGGTCTAGCAAAGATGGTTCTGACCCAGCGCTTGCTAGTTATGAAGATGTTACCACTAAGTAAGTCTCACTAAAAACAGATGGTGGTTATAGAGAGGGGGGAAAAAAAGAGGCCAGAGACTTAAATAGCACTCTAGTTCATCACATTTCTCAGGGGTTTCCAGCAGAGTTTGGTGGGACTCTTGGTAAGGAATCCTGGATGCAGCAAATGGAGCTACTTGCTCTAACATGTGCCATGGCTGAAGCCCAGCAGAAGCTTTACCTACAAGCTCCTCAGACTGTGGTGCAGCTAAACAGAGGTGTTCTATTCTACCAGGACATCAATTTCTGCTCACACTTTCAAGGTGGGAAAACATCATCTGGATGACTCAGAGAATGGAGCTTTTCAACATGACCCTTGCCACAAATTGGAACACTGGAACATGCCGAAACATCACCCAAAAAAGACATCACCCAAAGAAAAACCTAGCTTGCAGGCAGCAGCCTTCATGCCAAGAGTTCTCACCCACCTGTTTTGCAAGTGTTCAATTTTTGAAAGCTAGGATACAGTTACAGAGGGGAAATCTACTGGAATTCTATCTTAATGAATTTCAGCCCCTCTTTTGAAAGCTGCTGGATGATGAGGCTGAGTGGAAACTAAGTTCTACTGTCAGATCAGGGCTTTACTGGTTTGTTTTTAGTTGGGAGAAATCACAGAGCAAAATTCAGAGCTGCCCAATGAATGAGAGGAAAGGTCCTGCTAAGAGTGTTGCACTCCTAAAACTGGGCTGCAAGGGAAGGCACAGGGGACTGCAGGAGCTACGTTCACACAGCTCCTACTTCCAGTTCTCTGTAGCTGTGCAGAGCTCTAATAAGAACAGAGCCAGCACAAAAAGACATGTGATGTTGTTTTGCAACTACACAGGACTCTGCAGAGGAAGCAGTTATTGCACATCCTACCACATCTTACTATGGTGGGGAAGCTTCCAAAGTTTTCCATTTGTTTCCCCAACTCCAGCTGCTACAGCAAATCCGTTGGTTCCTTTCGGTGTCACCGTGACCTGCAATTCTGCTCTCACTTCTGAGGCAGCACGAAGCCGCCTCGCTGACGGGTCACTCGATGTGAGAGACACAAAGTCAGAGTTTGTTGTACTGTCCACTTCCAGGACCTCAGAGCTGCACCACACTTGGCCGGAGCATTCTGTCCTGCTCGATGAGGGGGTTGCCCCCCTGGCCCTCCAAAACTCCACATCATGAGAGCCCCCACAACATTGTGTTGCAACTGGAGTAAGGGCCATGTTTATATAACACTTGGAATTAACTTTGACAGGGAAGGCCAGCCACAAACTGCAGGAACTGAACCCTGCTGAATTCTCTTAGCATCCAAGCAGACAGGAGAGAATCTATTTTCCAAAAACTGGACAGGATTTCTGAGCCCTGACTCACTGCATCCCATGGCGTAGCAGTGTCCCCCCCCCCCCCGCCAGCCCGGCCACCGAGTCTCAGCCAAGAGCCTTCGGGAGTTTTTTTAGCAGGCCTATTCACATGTCAGGCTTCTCAGTTAAGAAGGGACTAATCTCACGGTTTCCCAACTCCCCTGCCAGAGCAGCCGTCCCAGGAGCAAGCCCCAAGCTCTCCCAAAGTTCTATCTCCTCTTTCCAAAGGCCGAGCTGGAGACGGCCGCTGGCAGCGACCGCGTCCCCTCGGCGGGGGCGGCTGCCAGGGATCCCACACGCCGCGTGTCGAGGAGGAGTC